ACGTTGCTTTCCTGTTTTCACGCTGAAGGAAATCTCCTCCTTGGAAAGCAACGTGGCAAGAGACAGCTAGCTGGCAGGAAGATGAATGCGAAGAAAAGGATGGTAACCCTTAAACCTGGCCCAAGACCTTGATCAAAGGCCTTGAGCCTTTTTCCTGCTCCCCTCCCACTTGGCCCTGTCACAGGCCTACATCGTCTCCTACGACAACCACACCGAGCACGACATTGACTTCACTATCGGCATTGACGACTACCTCTACAAGTGCCCTGGGTGGTTTTTCAGGGTTGTCAGGGCTGTCTTCGAAAAATACATGTATTTTATATGGTTTTCGTGTTCAAAACAAACACAACACAAAAAAAATGCAATTACTTGTATGGCATAAATTCAAAAATACAGCATCCAACGTAGTAAAAAACAGCGTTGAAATAATAATTTTAATAACCATTGCTATTAAAATTATCTCTCTTTCAATATCATATTATTTCTTTTCCTTTCGCGTCGACAAGAAAAACAAAAGCTCTCAATGTGGCTGTATTTACGAGTGTCTCTTATATATTCACCAAACCTACTTCTGCACTTCGCGATCTCGACTTTGGGATTTCGGGACCTTTCGGCGAAAACTCGAAAGTGGGTGGGACACAATACTTCAAATGCAAACCCTCCTACGCCGAGGTCTGGGCTTTAGGGGTGTTGGCGAGCTCCTCCCACGTACAGCTGGCATCTTTGTTTTTGATGTTGCGCTTCAGGTTTCAGGAGTGTTAAAACCTTCTTGGTAGCACCTGCGTTTTGCACGGTATTTACAGCGATTTCGTGCTATCCGAACTGCCTGTGCTTTCGCAGTTCCTTTCCCGTCGAGATTGCAACTCCAACTGCTGTCGCAGCTTTTGGGCGCGAGCCATTGCGACTTCACCGACTGTGACAGTTAAAGCAGGTGAGCCTCTGCAACCTCTGCAGCTGTCACTGATCAGGAGCTTGAGTCCCTGCATCTTCTGCAGCTGCCGCAGTTCTAAGGAGCCTAGAAGCTGCCACTAGCCCGGATGGCGCCAGTGGTTGGTAGGGGGGGTGGCTAGTAGTAGTAGTGGTAGTAGTAGTAGTAGCAGCAGCAGCAGTAGTAGTAGTAGCCGTCGTCGTCGTAATCGTCGTAATCGTAGTAATAGTAGTACTAGTAGTAGTAGTAGTAGTAGTAGTAGTAGCAGAAGTAGTAGCAGTAGTAGTAGTAGTAGTAGTAGTAGTAGCAGTGCCAGTACCAGTACCAGCACTGGAATTGAGGGTGCGATCAGCTGCCTTCGATTGGTTCTGACTTGCTCAATTTAGCTATTCAGATGATCACATAGCGGGCTATTTTTCCGGTGACAGCTCTGTTGTCATTTTTGAGTGGGTTTCATGGGGGCATAAACCTCAAAGGGGAGCTGCTGCGGCAGGATATTACGGGATACCGCGACATCGCATAGAAAGCAACCCGCGATTCTCGAGCACTTCGGCAATCTTGGCCTCCTCAAGAGAGCCACGGTGTAAACCCTCGGCAAAGCAAGCTAAGAAGAGGGTCTTGTCTGCGCTTTTGCAGGTTTAAACACTGCTCAAGTCCCGCCTCTTTCTCATTCCAGGTTGGCTTTGATAGCCCCTGCTGAGCACACGGCCGATTGCCATCGATCAACTTGCAGTAGCAGCAACACCATGGACAGAACATGGAAGATGCACGAATACTGATAAATAATGCGAGAGATTACAAGAGCCGGTGAAGTACAGCAGTATTGTTACCAGACACATAGGGAATCATAATGGATGTGGAGTAGCTGTAACTGTAGCTGTAGCTGCTGCTGCTGCCGCTGCCGCCGCTGCTGCTGCCTGCTGCGCGCCGAGTGCTAGCAGCTAGCATAACGTCGAAGACGGCGTTTCGCTTCATGCATATTTACCGTTTGAATAGGGTTGCGTCAAACCACCGACTGATGTAGGCTTTTCGGGTGTAGTTCGTTTCCGTGGCCAGCTGCTGGACGAGCAGACAAACAGCTTTTCCCTTTTCTCTACATAGTCTACACTGTCGAAAACATCCGTAAGCAGAGGCATTCGGAATTGAGCTCGTGCAGCGCTTTCAACCTCGGATGCAAACACAGACTTTTCCTGAGACAAGGTCAGATACAACGGCTCTTAATGGTGATCAGAGAATAAGACACTCAACCAGGTGCGATTATCCTTCTCTTTATGGCGCGCATAAAGCAACAAGGCGTTTTTTACTTGTGGACATGGGCGAGAGGGGCAGATACCCAAGCACGAGATCACATACCCTGTTGAAACCGAAGCTAGTTCCAAACATGGGTAATTCTCTAAACTAGGGTCCCTTTGGGTCCCAATATGGTACGGCACCCTTAGGAAAGGGACCCAAATTTCGAGAGTTGCCCACACGCAAACAAGGCTATATAGTCGTGAGCCGAAAACCTGAAAGCCCCTACCTAAACCACCCTCGAAAATAGGCAAAATCGTGGCCCAAGGCCCATGAAAAGGCTAGTCTTCGACATACTTCGGGGGTCCAGGTACACCTTTAGCCCGAACGCACACTCAAATCTCTAAAAGCTTCTCAGCATGACGCCGGGTGCTCAGGGTCCAGGCCGGAGGCTAGGACGTGAAGATGAGTTGGAAGGTCGAGGGCTGCTTTAGTAGTGAGTTCGGTTCCCGAGACGATGGGCAAGACAATCCTGAATCTGCCCATGCACGTCAAATTCCAGCAAGAAGCTGCCACGCCTGGATGTTTGCGTCGTAATTACGAGAGTTTTTGGTTTTGTTGAGTTATGAGAACTGCATGGTGTTGCTGCGTAGATCGCAAGCGTAGGGTTCTGTTTTCAGGGACCCATCGACACATTTGATTCCACTAGCACAGGGGTCGTGAGCAGGTGAATTGGGATTCATGGTCAAAGCGGCGCAGCTGGTTGACGTGGACCGGCGAAGTACCAATGCCATGCGGAAGGAAGGGCGTGAAGCCGAGCACAACAATACCATAAACTCCACAAGTCTGGCATGAATGAAAACGCTTATAAAGCCAACTCCTGAAGTCATTATAGACACTTATAAGAATGATGAAGCCTTACTACAACTTTCTACAGCCATAGAAGCCCAAACCGTAGCCGGCCCGCACGCTCAAACACAGAGCTTCTCTCAAGAGACTAAAGGAGGGACCCTTAAAGGGACCCTTGGGGTTATATAGGGGCTTTATGAGACGAGAAAAAGGCGTATATCAGGGTGATATAGGGGTTGGGGGCCCTCCTATTGTCCCTTAATTCTCGGCATGATGCCAGTGCTCAGAGCCCCGGCCGGAGGCTGGGACCGGAAGAGGAATGCACTTCTCAAGGTTCAGAGTCGCTTTAATCGGGTTTAATTAGGGTTTAATGAGCGGTTTAATGAGGGGTTTAGGGTTTTGGGGTTTAGAAATTTAAGGGTTTAGGGGTTTAGGGCTTTAAGGCTTTAGGGGTGCATTCCAGCTGCGATGGAAAAACTTTCCAGAATCCTGAATCTGCTCACAAGGAGATTTCTATTCCCGATAGTTGCGCAGTACGGGAGGCGCACGGGCTTCGCGTGGTTCTGCTAAGGTCTGAGAAGCTGTCCGCAAACGTAACATGTATGGTTGTTCTTTCATGGACCCATCGAAAAGTATCGCTTTCGCCAGCATTAGGATCGTGAGCAGGCGAATTGGGATTCCTGGTCAAAGCCGGCGCGTTGCTGGCCTACAACGGCCTGCAGAGGAAGGAAGAGCGCAAAGCCGAACCCAACAGACACCGTAAGCTCCTTATAAGCGGTAAAATAGCCCAGACCCCAGCCGGCACGTGCGCTCTAACCTAAAGCTTCTCGGCATGACGCCAGTGCTCAGAATCCAGGCCGGAGGCTGGGATGTGAATCCGAGCGTGAAGCTTGCGGGCTGCTTTAGTGATGACTCCCTGGAGGATGGGAGTACTTGCCAATTGAATCCCAAATTCCTCCGATCAGCTGCAGCTATCCTGAACATGTAACATTAGGGCTCTCAATCATTTTAATAGGGTTTTGGCCGATTTTGTGGGTATAGTATACTATAACTACAATCAGGAACCCCCAAACCCTACTCTAACTTTTCATGCCCTTACATGAATACTAAGAATGTGCTTCAACACCTGCCTCTAAGCATTGAGGCCCCTATATTGCGATGCCTCACTATCCTACTCCAAGGATTAAGGCCCCTGTTTTGAAAGCAGTCGATACCAGGAACTTTGGGATTCCTGGCCGTAGCCGCCGTAGCCGATGCCCTGCTGGTTCTGCTGAGAGCCACCGGCTAAGTGGCAATGGTATGCGGAAGAAAGAAGGTGCCGGTTCAGCGTTTAAGTTTAGGGCTTAGGGTTGATTTTCCCGCTGATTCATGCGAGGTCATGAGCGATTATGAGATGCACTATGATCATTCAGCTTGTGCCGAGCCTGTCTGTTTCTTTGAGCATGAACATTGTCGTCTTCACAGTGGCATTTCCGTCGACATCCCTCAGGCGCCCTGCATTGCCAACTGGTTGTTTGTTCAAGCGAGTTCTTTACCGGCTTTTGAATTCTGCGTGTTGTGGTTTTAGTGCTCGCGGCTGCTGCGGCTGCGACTGCGTTGCTTCTGCTCGTGTTATCAGCCCTAAGCTTCCTGATTGCCCTAGTTGTGGAGATAATTGAAAACGCAGGAAACAGGGGACCCTCTATTAGGATCCTTCGATTCAGAACTTGTTCTAAAGGACGCCTCAACATGATGATACCCCCAGGTAGTGCCCAGCCTGCTTGACGTGCCGTTTTCCGATCTCGCTCGACCAGCGAGGGTCCAGAACACCGAAGGGGTGGGTGCTCGCTTTCAGATTTGCTTCGAGGTTGGGTTCCGTTGGTTTAACATGCACAGCCTCCTCGGACGAATATCGAAGGTGCACATATGAAGGTTGGTGCAGTCTCAATTTCGGTGGCGGGAGGTACGCAAAACTATACTGTAAGTTGTCTTCAGGCTCCCCACGTGAGCCAAGATGTTTCCATTCAATGTTGGTGCGCCGACGCCGAAGCTGGATGATGAGGCCGCTTCGCTGGGCTCTGGCCGGGGGGGTTTAGGGTTTAGGGGTTTAGGGTTTGGGTAAAAGTTAAAAGTCAGGAACAGGAATGACAAAATCTTAGATCATAGGCCTCATTTGTTCTATTCGGAACTGAATAGTTATGTTCCGTAAGGCAATCTCCGAAGTAGACGAAATTCGACTCACGAGTCCGAACCTCCAGCGGTCCAGGACACTCCAGGAATGTTCTTCTGAACTAGCAATGCGGGACATAGGCAAAATCGGGAAGTGGTCACGGAGTCTGAACTTGTTGCATAGCCTAACAATACTCAATTTTCGGCTGGCCGCAGCGGTACAGAGGATTTTGGTGCTAGCGCCAGTGGTTTTTGTCCACACGGAGTTTGTCATTGCCCGGAACTGTGAACTTGAGAATGTTGCCAAGACTCCAGCCGAGACTGCTGCAAGGACTGCCGGAGCCCGATTGTCTTCAAAGTCTGCCTGGACAGTGAAAGCAGCTCGTTCTGCAGTAGGTTCAGTGTTCTCTGGCTGTTGATCCCAAAGACCGCTGGTAAGCTTTCGAATCCCGCCCCTTCGTTGAAGCCTGGTGGGACTGCCGGAGTTGCTTTGACCCTAAAGCCGAAACCCTAAACAAAACCCAAACACTAAAACCCAAACTTTAGCCCCTCCTAAACCCTTAAACCCTTAACCCTAGCTCAAACCCACAGTCCCGCGTCTTCCTGCACTGGCAAACTTGTCTCCAACGTGTGGGCCTTGGAAGGAAGAATGTCTGGGAAGCTGCGCAACACAGAAGTGCAGGTGTTAGTGATATCTCCCCGGGAAAGAAAGCCTACATGACGAGCTTGTTTGCTCATGCTGGATTTTCTGCCAATGTTGGTATAACTAGCGGTGCATGCTGAAGAGCTTTATACTATGTCAGCTCCCCGCCGTAACCGAGTCGGTCTGGTTCGTGTCAGTCTCCGCCGATCATCATCTGTGTTGTAGAGCTGAAGGTGCCAGATGAACCAGAAGCGAAAGGAGCAACAGCATCAGCACGAGTGAGTCCCTCCATCTGGCTTTACCATGCCTCACTAGAAACAAGTCGTGAAGGTGTCCCAATATTTCGGTAGTGGACCAGTTTTCTTGGTTGAAATTGTCTACTCTTCTCATTAATTTCACGAGTTTGTGTTGCATATGTTATGCCTATTTGCTTAAACTTTACTGAGTTGGAAATCTTTTAGGTTGTCCTTCTGGTAGAGCCCTTACAGCTTGTTCTATTCTATCTTGGAAGAGTGGACCACGTGTGCCTCTGCTAGTTCATAAATCCATGCACGAGTTCATTAATTAGTTAAAGGAGTCTCATTGCGTTAAGTTCAGATGGAAAGGGACGACACGAAACAAGTGACTTGAGAGTTCTTTTCACAGATCTTCTATAGATTCGGTTCATTTAATGAAAAGAAACACGCTTCGTTTCACAATGTGCATTCAGTGTTTTCTTTCATTACATAAGTTTGTTCTCTTCTTATCAGGAGATGTGAGAGATCTTGAGACTTATGTGCCGATGTTCAGGCGCGCTGATGCTCCACTACCTTAAAACAATCCTTCGGCAAAGGTGACATCGACGAGGCGTTGTCGTTGTGCTCAAGCGTTCCTTGGCTAAAACATCGTCAGGGCGCAGCATCGGCGGCAAGGCGATTCTAAATGACACATGGTTAGAAATGGTACTGCAGTCCCTAGTATTCACCACGATATAATGGACATTGAAACCTTGTTCGAGTTCATTGTTAGTACCTCTATGCTAGATCGCCAAGTGTCTAGGTGGCCGTTGCGATGTGTAGGATGCACCTACACCCAGCTTCTGCTCGGCAGTTGCAACATGCCGGGAGAATCGGCGTTGCCGCGATTGACAGCCTGTACCCTTAACTCATGGTCTTACCATCGCTCCCTAAACACCCTAAACCCCAAATCCTAAACCCCAAAACCCTAAACCAAAAAAACCTTCGGGAGAAAGGCCTCCACCACTGCCTGCTCGACGGCATCTGCAACGCCAGACGCATCTGCAACGCCCTGTGCTTTCAGCAGGCAGAGTTTAGGAGCAGGCAATGTCTAGGGTTTAAGGTGTAAGGTTTGCAAAATTTAGGGTTTCATTTAGTTTGCTTCATGCACAAGGAAGTGTAAGGGATCGATTATTGTATCTCGGCAATATGCTCGTAATGCAAGAACTTGGTGTCAGCCTCCGCAGCATTTGCCGGGTTGAGCCTTAACTTGAGGTTCACGGCCCTTGTTTGAGGAATCACCAATGAAAGTCAATGGAAGTGAGTTTATGAAGTAGACAGTGTCGCAGTGCTTTCTATTGACGCTCTTTTCCGATGCATATAAGGCCGTTCGCGGAATCCTCTCGGTTTTTGCTGACTTTGCTCTTATGTGCATTCAGTATTATTGATGTTGCTCATTCACGACTTCCGTTGTTCTTGTCAATGCACTGCAATCTACTCCCTCTATGCCTTGTCCCCACATGCCCCGAAGGCCGTAAATCTCTGTGCCTTTCAACAGCAGAGGACCCTAAACCCTAATCTCTAAACACCTAGAGCAAGCTCTAAACCCCTGTAAACCCCTAAGCGCTAAACCTAAACCCCTAAGCCCTGAACCTCTAAACCCTAAACCCTAAACTTCCAAACTTCTGAAACTTCTAAAAACCGTGAACCTCTGCCTTTAACGTCTAAAAATCCGACCCCCCCCCGGGACCCGACCAGGCGAGAGTCGGCGGCTGCAGCCGTCCCCATCAAGCGTGCAGCTGGCCCGAGGCAATGCATAAAGTATGCTACAGTATACTACCCCTACAATATACCATACGATTAGGGATCAGGGTTTAGGGTTTAGGGTTTAGAGTAGTATACTGTATACTTCCCCAAACCCTAAACCCTAAAGCCTAGTCCCTAATCGTATGGTATATTATAGTGTAGTATGAATATACTAAAGTCTACCATAGTATAGTACACGATGGTATACTATGGTTTATTATAGTATGGTATTAGTATCGTATACTATTTTATGTTTACTCTAGTATGCTATCGCATAGTATATTTTATACCCAAGTTTTGTTTAATTGCAGGGTCGAGCAAGGTTTCCCTAGAGGGAATCCTAAAACTGCAGCTTAGGGTTTAGGGTTTGGGACACATTCTCCAAAGCCTCGAGGAAGGAGGAAGCAGGACAGGCATGAAGGCGAGGAAGATGCCGGTTTAGGGTTTGGGGTGCTTCTTTTTTTTGTCATTGGCATGCTTTGCTCTTCCTACCATTGGTATCATTCCCCAGCCTCGGTGTGGGGTTGTTAGATTTTAAAGTCAGCTATTACTCCTCGCCCGCTGAGACTACCTCAAAGAGTGCCCAACCCCACAGACTACCGTGAGACTCCCTGGAGTGCCCAACCCCACAATGCATTATCTGTAGGGTGGGGATGTATTTGTACTGATAAAACAATATAGCAATAACAATACAACAAGAACGTTATAGTCGTGTTCAAGCCGGATGCGCACATTCTGCGCGCTTCCTTCGCAGTCTCCAGCGGCTCCAGACAAAGGCCAACCTCTCGGACTCCAGAAGCCCAATATAAGGGCCTAAATAATTACCAATACTAAAGCCCAATGTAGGGGCCTTAATAATTAAAGTAGGGTTTCGGGGGGTCCTTGTTAGAATTATTTTGTACATGATACCCACCAAACCCTATTCTAATTATTGAGGCCCCACCTTTCCCCGAAGCCCAAAGTCCAGACCCACTCGTTCCAGTATAGTAGATTCTCTAGGGCTCCTATTCTATTGTACTTACTAGTCTTTTCTATTCTCTTCTAATATATTAGAGTCTCATCTTACAGCATACTATCTTCTAATGTATTAGAGTATATTCTGTTCCTATATTCCTATATACTAGACAATATTATCGTCATGGTATACAGTAGGAAATGCCCACTCCAACGTCTTGTCCAGGTGCTGCAGTGACCGGCAGCAGAGACGGGCACGACGCAAGAACAAGCAGAAGGACCGACCTCGCAGGGTGGTCGGAAGTTTACAGGAGTTTAGGGGTTTTGGGGCTCTGGGTTTAGGGTTTTAGGGTTTTGGGGCGCTGGGTTTCGGGTTTTAGGGCCTTGGGGCTTGGGGTTTAGGAGCTTAGGGCTTCTCGGGTTTTGGGTTTAGGGGTTTAGGATTTTGGAGACCCTATGAGCCGTAAATTTCTGAGCCAAAACCCTTGAGGATCTGGACGTGAGAGCAGGCGGAAAAAGGCCCATGGGAAACATCTGAACTTGGCGTTCTGGTGGGCTCTTATAGGACTCTAATAATTTGTTGGGTTTCTATACCAAGTATAATAGGTAAGCAAAAATGTTAACTTTTGGGGCCACAGAGAACGGCAGTTGAGTGCGGTCTGCGAGCATCTCCAGGAGGCAGTAGCCGAATACCTCCTCGACTATGGCTTCTGGGACATCAACGCGCCTTGTTTTCTCCTACTGTCATTGCAGGGGCTTCAGCATGGCTGTGTAGCATAGCGCCCTGCACCCGAGACACTTTCCTTTGAGGGTTGGGGCTTCTTGGTTGTCGGGCTCAGGGTCTGGACTGGTACTCCCAGGCTGAAGCCCTACAACCTTGAATCTTGCTTATCACAGCAACTCGCAAAACCCAGAACTATCCTGAACGGCTTGTTTGGAGTCGGTCGGCTGCCATCTTGAATTCTCTGGATTCGAATCGGGGGTGCTGCAAACGGACAGCTCTACACACTCAACACCAACAACTCTGAGGAGTGCTGCATTGCTGCATGGCTGCTTTTACAAGCATGATCAACATCGTCACACGTCAGTCTCATAGGTATGTTCTTTCTTACTACTGTCCATAAGCCTACTAAGAAGAGCAACTAACAGATACCCAGCAGCAGCAACAACATCAACAACAGCTACAACAGCCACAACGGCAACGACGGCGAGGACGACGACGTTTGCAGCAAAGACAAGGATGAGTGTGATGAAGATAAAGAGCCGTGCTGCTCCATCTTTGTATGGAGGTATCTGCATGCAAAACATATGTTGTCGCTGTAGCAGTTGTTGCAAGTCTTGTTAAAGACTCCTTCCCTATCACCACCACTGTTGCTCAACCGTTACGTCCGCCGATCTTTCGATTCTGACAAATGTCGGTTTAGGGTTTGGGGTTGAGTCCTTGGGCCGCCCAGTATGTCAGATGCACAGCAGAAGCTCCACATCAAATGATCCGCAAGTGATCCAGAATCATGACCATGTCCTCGCCACCTGCCTTTCTTTGTGCGCAAGATGAGAGTTAACATCAGGACTTCAAGACTTGAGAGCCATACGTGGACATGGACTTTACAACATGGTGAGCAAGAACGCACTGAGGAGCCTCGTGCGCAGACGGGCGGGCAGCAGCAGGAGGAGCCAAAGTTTCCGGGCGACGGCCCTAAGCCCCAAATGGGTTTAGTTGGGCCGAGAGGGGGTAGGCTGGGGAAGCGCCGCAGATGTTGGATTTGCGTCTGAGTCAGAGGAATGGGACAACGCCGCAAGGTTCCGGACATTCGTTTCATGGCATTTGCGGTTTCGCATTCGCTGAGACACTTTAGATCAGCACATCTGCCCGGTTGTTCAAACCCAATAAACACGAGTCTCAACATGTCGCGTCGATCATGACCCTGTTTACCCATAGCTGCAGTATCGAGAGTTGTCTCCTTATCCCTATGTTTATTATCTACTGCCCAATCGTCATGGCAACCGAGTCTGCAACGGAGGCAGTTTCTTGCTGAAGGCTTCAACGTGTGACGTTCAACCCTAAACCCAAAGGAAGCCTGATGTTCGGTTTCAAGAGTCATCGAAGGCGTCTTCGAGGCTTGACTGTAACGGCTTGGTAAGGATCACTATGCGAACTACTGGAACGATTACCATCAGGAACGCCATGAGGGTGAGTGTAGAGGTTACAGAAAAGGGTAAAAGGCTTAAGTTTTTTGTTTATACATAAAGACGGCTCAAGGCTGACGCAATTGAATTTTCAGAGGCATTGCGCCGTCGCAGGAAACTGTGTACCCGATACACCTCGCAGCACAGCAGGGCGCCTTTGTTGCAAGGATCGAGGCCAAAAGGACCTCCTAAGAAGCCTGCAATCCAGTCGTGTACTACATAGATCTTCTCAAAACTATCTGCTAAGGGAGTCTAGAAGTGCATGTTATATTGCATTCTAGTCGAGTCTATTCTACTTCTAGCCTACTTCTACCTCCATTCTATTAAGTTCTATTCTAGTCTATTCCATGCATGTATGTAGCTGCTGAAGGCAGGCCTAAAGATTGAAGGTCGAAGAAATCGTCGAGACTGAAGCCAATCTCCTCCGGCTTGAGGGTTCCCGATATCAGCCGCCCCTAAAAGGTCTAGGGTTTAGGGTTAAGCGTTTCGGGTTTAGGGTTTGGGGTTGTGGTGAAAGGTCTAGCTTTTAGGCTTTAGGGTTTGGCTGTATAGGGTTCCAAACCTCAGGGGAGCTCATGAATCCAAAGGAGTCCACAAACACTTTCCCGAAATCATCTCCGTGAGAGTTCAGGGTCGGGTTAGGGTTTAGGGTTGCATGTTTTCCGATGTTCTTGGCTGCAGAAACCGTATACGATTTTCCCTCCAGTACTCATCTCGACCAGAGAGTCGTATTGCTCCGTAGCCGTGGATTTCTGTTCAGGCTCGCTGTCAGGTGGGTTTATCTTTCGGAGGTGTTTTCTTTGGGGTTGGAGCTTCGAGCCCGAACCTGAACAAGGAGCCGTCAAATCCCGAACTCTCGAAAGTGTGTTTTTTCCTCTCGATCTCCCTTTTGCAGCAAGCTGGCCGTGGGGTTTGAGGTAAAGCCGGTTTCATTATTCTTGTTTTTATTTTTGATATTTGTGTACTCCTATTCTCCTGGGCAATAACGGCGGTCCTGAGACTTAAAGCCAGATCGGGTTCGTACATGAAACTTAGGCAATCCTAAACCGCCTCAACCCTTGGTTCAGCAGAAAAGGCGATCTTCTTAAAAGCGGCGTGCGCTCCCGGAACTTCTAAACCCGGCGAGTCCTGTGTATACTAGAGGCCCAGTCAAGTTTGTATGTCTGTATGCATGCATGTAAGTGGTACTTACAAGCATACATACATATATACGCACAGGCCACCCGTCAACATACTAAAATAGAAAGTCTCGTCAACATGCCAAGAAGCTAATTGAGACGTTGACATGCCAAAAGTCAACTACCGTGGACATGCCAACAAGTTAACCATTGACATGCCTTGCGGGCACGCCTTGGAGGCCTTTGAATACTCACAAACACTTAAAAAGCGATGGGGGTTGTGGGGGTGGTGGGGGCGGTGTGAGTGGTGGGGGTGGTGGGGGCGGTGGGGGTGGTGGGGGCTGTGAGGGCGGTGAGCGTGGTGGGGGTGCGAATATGGGGGCGGTGTGGGTGCGGGGGGAGGTCCTTGAGGGGATGCATATAGGTTGGCTGAGTTGGTTGCATCCTGTTCTGTTCTTGGGGGAATCAGTCGAGACTCACCTCTGCGATCGCGACGTGGGTGATCGACCTGGAGGACGAACTCTGCGCAGACGTGCGCTGTGCAGCAAGTCACGGGTAACGGCGTTTTTCCGCATGGAGTGACCCATCCACGTACTGGTATATGGTGCCGGCGCCGGGGGCCGCTCAGGTGCCCGACTTCCGCATGCTCTTGGAGCATCCGCCATTTTGTCAGGGGTCGCATGTGCTCGTGCCGCACATCAGTGGCGCCTGGGAGGACACTCAGCTGGACGTTCAGGAATATGTTCAGTAGGTGTTCATCAGTTGCACGCCGGCATCTTTAAGAGTTCAGTCATGTCGTCGACGTCATGCTTGGAGAAAAGTCTGGCAGTCTGGCCCGGGCACTACTTGGGGGCGCCAGCTCTGTCAGTTTTCCCCTGCTGCAGTGAGAGGGCGGCGGACGGTGTAGGCATTTGCAACGCTGCCAGACGCGCACCAGGCTTGTGGAACAGCGTCGCTCCATTCTGCAGTAACACGACAGCACTTTTCCCGAGGACGGGGCAAGGAACCGGTCTCATTGCTTTTCTGTCGTGGCTCCGCGGCAGGAGACACGGCTGAGAAGTCGTCTTGGACCTGTGCTATTGAAAATGTGGCTGTGCCAAGTCGACTGTTTCTCCACAGCTTTCGCTGCACCTTTGAAATGTCACCAACTGGCGCCTTGATCGGCTGCCTGCTTTTGCGCCCGAGCTTCAAGAACTGCTTGCTCCAAAACAGCATGGCCCAGAAAGCAGTGTGAGCGTATTGCCGTCGTTGTGACCGGTCCTCTGTTTTGAACTGCCACTGATGACACCGGCAACGAAAAAAATGGGACCCTAAGACCCTAAATTCTACGTCTAAACCGGGGACCCACTTCGCCTCTCGGTCCGGCGCATCCAGGGTCTCGGGTTTAGGGATAGCCCTAGGGCCTTAGGACTTCCTAGTTCCTCCCGGGTTTAGGGTCATATATATATATATATACATACATATATATAAACGACCTCCTAAGACCCCTAAGGTCTAAACCCTAAGACCTATTTGTTAGAACCCTAACTGCAAGACCGTTTTGCAGACGCTCTTCTCCCACTCCGACACATAACATATGCTATGTTATGTTATCCTCATCCGTGTGTTCAAAGTTTCTTTTGCTTTTACTCCGTTCATCAACAACATACATAAAAAACTCCCTGGACTCCCCAGGTACATGCTGTAACTATGGAATTGTCGTTGACAAAGTGTCACTTCGCAGGACCGACATGAGCGAGTCGGCCCCGATAAAAACGCAGTGCGCATCCTTAGTGATCGGGGCGTAAAGCACGAACAGCTGATCTAGCCGAGCATTCCCCAGACCCGTCAGCATGCCAAACAGGCCTGTGAACACGCTAGAACACAGACATACATGCAGACCCACATACATCATGGTTTTGCGTTACGATATTCAGGTATCATTGGAAGCTTAGCCTAGTACATATTTTTGTATAACGTTGAGTTCAGCGTCCCAGCAGTCAGGTAATGTTCGCATGGTGCGAGCACTGCTGGAGGGTGGCGCGGATCCGATGCAGCTGCTTGCTTGATGTTTTGTCTTTAGCACCCTACGGCACGGCAGGGTTTAGGGTTCCGGGTGTAAGTCCTGATCGCTGAAGCCCCAAACCACTACACACCCGACTGGCGAAAGGAAAAGGGTGCTCAACAAAAGCTAAACACCTACATTCGTGTCTACAGTTTAACTAAAGGTTTTGGGCTTCAGTTCTGGAGGGTGTGTCCCTTCTATCGTTCGAGGCTCATCGGTTAAAGATTGAGGCAATCGTTTGCCATGTGTCGACGCCACTCATACTGACATGGGGTTTATGGTTGCAAAAACATGCGTCTGCCCACACGGGCCCAACGGTTCATTCCACCGTATTAGTCGACCAATTTGCCCTTGAGAGCGTTTTATCCGAATGCGGAGGTCTTCCACCGAATGAGTACCACGCACCTGTAACGCGGAGCCATTCTACGAGGAAGCTACTGTAGCTGCTGCGGGATGTGCATCTTGCTAACGGTGCTCAAAATCGGGACGGTACTGAGCGCCACTAGGAACAGTTAGTGACAATGACGTCAACAGGGTCCTTGTAGAATATGGGCGATATTTTGGTCATATCATTACTCCGACGACGATTATTGGATTTGGTATAATCAGTAGTAGTGGCAGTAATGGTAGAAGTAGCAGTAGCAGTAGCAGTAGCAGTAGCAGTAGGAGTAGGAGTAGGAGTAGGAGTAGGAGTAAGGAGTAGGAGTAGGAGTAGGAGTAGGAGTAGGAGTAGGAGTAGGGGTAGGGGTAGTTGTTGTTGTTGTAGTGTTGTGACATCATTCAGAGTGTTTTGTGACACTCACCCGTCTCCTCTTAAGATTCCGAAGCCTCCCTACCCTTTATTACACAAATACCCACTGTTAAGGACCATAAGGGCTCTATGACAGGGCACTTATGGTTGGTCCTGGCTAATCACGAAAGACCCAGGAAATCCTCCTTGGGGCGCAGTGCACATGACTTTGCTCTTCTCGCTTTGCGGAAACCCGCGCAGGACTTCGGGGATCTCGGCTTTTGGGGTTTGGATAGTGATAAAAGCCCAAGGTTCCTTCAAAGTTCCTTCAAGAGTCTATTATAAGCGGTTCAGAGTTTAGAGTATGGGCGCTTCAGGGGCTCAAGAGTTTGGGCTTTCAGGGTCAAGGACTTCAGGCCCTTCAGCACAGAAGTACTGCAGCACCCGAAGGCACATACATTCGTTGATTCATACCAGTTCAAGCTTGCTAAGCGTGCAGACAGAGCACAAGGCGTTTAGGGTTTAGGCGTTTATATAGGGTTTAGGGTTTACGGGGTTGTAAGGGGTTTAGGGATTAGGGGTTTATAAATGGTTTTCTTAAGGGGTTGAGGGTGTAGGGTTTAGGGACTCTTTAGGAAATTTTGGCCATTGAGCCTTAGAGCCCTTTGACGGGATGCAGGTTTCCCGAGCTTAGCGCAGCATCCCCCTTCTCCTTGTTTTATAGCCTCATAAACATGAGTTCACCCAATGCTCCCAAGGCGAGGGACTCATATGGTCAATTGAAACTTTGAGCCCGAACTCCTGAAGCTCACCCGAAACCTATCGAGCCTTATGAACCGTAGATTTCAAGCCGTCTAAATCCTCTTGTTCACCTTCTAAACCCCGGTAAGTAGCCCTTAAAAGCTGGTAAAGCTTTATCCGATGCTTAGCCAGGAGGAAGTCCGCCGCCTCTTGGAGCTCGGCCCTGCAAAAAAGGCCGGATGGCTTCGGTGCTTTACGAAGGTGTGGGTTTGGGTTTAGTAGTTTGGGAGTTCAGGGTGGCCTGGCATTTAAGTTCAAGGCTTAGGGCTTTGGCGAGGAGGTTCGTGATTCGAGGCATGTGGCCTTCCTTCAGGGCTGAGGACTTGGGAGGTGTAGACCAAGTGCCTTCACCAGCCTGTTTCTTGCCTTCACGAGTCGGGCTACAATTCACTTGGAGCGGAGTTCGCAATGGAACTGCCCTACCCTAAACCCTGAACCCTACAGTAAACCCCTGTAAGCCCGATATGGCTGTGTAATATTGCAAGCTGCTCTGAACATCTGCAGTCTGCTTTATACGTTCTCCAAATGTATGTGCGTAAGTTTGGAGCTCGGGGGCTTCCGCAACTCTGGAGGGAGTCGAACAGCCCACAGCTCACGACAGCAACGGTAGCCCTAAACCCCAAACTCAAGTTCAGAAAAAGAGACCAACAAAAGCCTAAACCATGAACTAATCTCAGCCTAGGTTGAAGTTTGAGGCAGTAATGTCAACTACAATATATCTTACAACTGTGCAAATATTATACATAGTAATATGTTGTAGCAAATATAACCCAACCATATAGTAGTATGTTAAACTCTATATGTATAACTTTATATGTATATACATGTATACAAGTATTAGGCAGTAGAAATGTAATATACAATCGCACAAACTCATGAATCCTGCCACAATATACTACAATCTGTTAGAATCATGATATAGCATATGATAATACAAGGTAACAGATAACAATACAACAGGAATATAAAAAGAACAACGCTAGCCAGGCGCCGGAGTCTTGGCAGTCTAAGTAGCCCAACATCGCAAGGGTTCTTGCTTATGTATACATACCCCTAATAACAACATGTACATACAGAACGAGTCGCACACCTATACGCACGCAGATATGTATATAATGCATGTGTATATATATATATATATAGAGAGAGAGAGAGATACTTATATGTGCTACACACATGTAGCAAAATCGAACCAAGCTCTAAAGCCACAAAAGCCATAGCCAACCTGCTTTGGTCTATGCTGAGTATTGCTGATGGGCCCCCGAGGTGACGCTGAGGGAGTTTTGCAAGTTGGCAGCAGCTCCAAGAGTGATGGAGCTTTGAGCGGTGCCCTGGGAACCCGACAAAACCCCTATAGTACGACTCTAGTACAGGGAAGCCCACAGATAGCTAGATAGGTAGATGGATAGATATGGATAGAAAGAAAACTACGTAACTAGGTAGATCGGCAGATAGATGTATGGGATAGGTGGATGGATGGATAGGTAGATAGATGGATAGAGAGATAGATAGGTAGAGATAGATAGCCAGATGAGTAAGTAAGTAGGTGGATCGGCAGATAGATGTCCGGGATAGACAGCCAGACAGACAGATAGATAGACGGATAGATAGGTAGACAGGTAAGCAGGTAGGTAGACAGATAGATAGTTCTGTAAACATATCTGTAGAGAGAGATTTAGACATAACAACATATGGTTTCGGACGCTCTTTACCTAAAGTGGGGGGTTGCTTCGACCTGTTGGTCTCAGGGTTGCATAATATACAAATATTGCATACTATATACGTATGGTCGTGCCAGTGTAGATCCTGAAACAGTGGTAGAGCACCACGAACGGACCCGAGGACCAGGATGACCACGACCACCAGAGACCACCAGGAAAGCACCAAGAGAACACCAGGACATCACCAGGACACCACGATCAAAAGGCTTATCCACTTAGGGTTTAGGGTTTAGGGTTATCCACATGTGCTGGCGGCGTTGGCCACCGCCAAGATGCTTCCTCCCATGTACTGCCGGATTCACAGACTTGAGCAACATGCTTCCCCCCATGTAATGGTAGGAGAGCAGGGCCGAAATGCTGCCCGACTAACCCATGTTCATTTGAGATGTGGCGTTCTGGTGTTACCTTCTTTAGGGGACCTACGGATCATTTACAGGCTTACAGTGGTTGAGATCCAGACCCACAAAGAGCTGTATCTTGATGCGAGGTTAAGCGTTGAGGCCTCTTGAAACCATTCTGAACTGTAAGATCATCTGCATCTCTGACGCCCTGGCCGCAAAAGACCTTATATGCTTATCGGCAGAAATGTATGAATAAGGAGAGTACAAAAAAGTGTCCCATGGCAGCATGCTGTGACTAGTCGACGTGCTTGACAGGCAATCATGCGGGGCTTGCTGCTGTGGCAGCCACAGCCCCCAAAGGGAATTTGAAATCGCTCGCGCCTTCTGTCTGTTCACCATGAGTACTCATGGTGAACCGTGCCAGACCATTGGCTCGTAGGCAGAAGGCGCTTGAGCTTTGTTGCAGCGAGTTTGGGCTTTGCATGGCGAAAGATCAACTTCTTCGCCGACCGTGCCTCCATGCTGCGTGTGAGGTGTCCGAAAACCCCGATGCCTCCTGAACTTTCTGTTGAGGCCTCCGTGCCGAGCACGATTGGCCGGGAAGCGGGACCAGGACTATGAACATTGTCTTCGTACAGGTCATTGTAGAAGGCTTAAGGTTAAGGGGGTTTTGGGCACTTTACGGCATTGCGTGTTTTTGGGAGTTTCGGAGTTCGGGATGTAGGGTTTCGGGGCTTTAAAATTTAGCAGTTTGCGGCTTCATATCATACGTGTTTGTGCGGTTATGGCTTGTTTTAATTTTCCCGTACTAAACATCTGCTGTGTGGACGCGAGTTGGGGACGCACTTCTCCGAGCTACGTTTATGGGCCGGATTTATCAGTACTGCTACGCCCGAGTAGTCCTTCGATTGTTTCAGTACAATACGCGACTATACTACAGTGCAAGAACCCTGCTGTAAGTCATGTTGAGCTTGATAGTTGCTGATGTTGGTACCATATTGAATCCAGCAGCACGTGTAGGGTTGATACATGTGCTGGCTCGATTGAGACAAGCGGCATTATAGAAACTGCCTTGAAGTTTCCTGCTGGTTGCCCGCTGCGTAAAATCTCGCGCTACTTGTAATTAAACCACGGAAACACGTTTGCAATTGGGCAAGAAGGAATCCGACATCAATGCAGGAAGGGAGGGAGGCTACAATGTAGGAACGGTGCTCCAGGATTCTGTAGTGCCCATGCTTTTGCATTCTCCCGTGGTGCTTAGGCCCAGTTCCACTCTGCAGCAAAACATCGTCAGAACTATCCGGCGGCAAGGGCCCTTCGAGTCAAGATCTCTTGAAGGTAGGCTGCTAGCTGCTAGATCACGAGCGAAACAACAGTAAGACATGCAACAGGCTGAAACCGGTTTAAACCTGAACGAAAGCGGGAAGGTACTTGGATGTATACTTTCATAGACCTTGCCATGGAATCCAGCATGATCCCTGTTGCTTGCTGCCGGTATTGTAGTTGCTGTCGCATGTATTGATGGGCTCCCGCATGCTTGTTATTGCTACTTGACTTTGACTCGTCAGGCGTCACATGCTCAAGCAATTTCTACTGGCGTAGTATCGAGCAGCATCTCCGACTTCGCGAATATCGTCATATTCACGAACTGTACTACTATAGTTTCCTGGATTACCCAAGCCCAGTGGAAGCCTCGTCAACCAGATGCAATCCTTTGGAACTTTGGAACATTACGATGCTCCAAAAACCGCAACAAGTAGCAACAGCATGTGCAAAGATGCAGAGTTGGAACGGACAGGCATCCAAAGGCGTCTGAGCACCAATACAGTGGAGTTTTTGGCACTACAAGCCCATCACATCATGTAACCCTTGCAACGCAAGCCCGAACCTTAAAACAGCCCAAGCCCTTAACCTTCTATGCCCTAAGCCCTGACGTCTTTGCTGGCTTGACAACCGCCACCGTGGTGCCCGAAGGCCTCTCGGCCGCCTCCCACGGAGTGGGTACAACGGATAGACCCTAAACCCGAGTGTTTTTGCCGTCCTGTGACAAGGATTGCACCACCCAACCTTCGTTGATTCACATTCAGAACGGCCCAAACCCTCAACAAAGTGGACAAGGATATGAACCCCCAACCCTTCATGATGTGGACCGCCCCCCCAACAGGACAACGATAGGACCCTTCACAACTCAGATTGCCCCCCCAAAAACCTTCACAAGGACAACGATAGGACACCCCCCCAACACTGCAAAAGGACAAGGATAGACAACCTCATTGGGGCCCTTTGAGCGGCCCACCAGAAGGATAAAGACAGAACCCCCCCCCCCTGCCCAACCCTTCACGATTTGGCCGGTGTTCCCTCTCCAGGATGGGGCTGATTCTCTGTTGCCAAATTCTTCTTGTAGAAAGTGCAACGTCGATTGGGTGGCCGGCTGATCTCGGGGTTGCCCCCGTCTCGACGACACTCACCAGCACAGTCTCACAGAAAGCCCACATGCATTGAATGCCTTGCTGTTATCGTTGGCGAGAACTGCCGCCAGCACAACCTCACAGAAAGCCGACTGAAGACACGCGCCAAGACCGAGTCACACCAGGACAGCACCTCACAGAAAGCCCATTGCTTCTTCAGACACCCACCAAAGACTGAATCATCCCAGCACAGCTTAACAGAAAACCAACATGCACTGAAATCCATTCTTGCTGCGTTTGTGAGACCGCCGCCACCGCAGCCTCACAGCCCGCCAGAGGCTGAGTCACAGAAATCCCACATGCAATGCTGGTTATCTCCGCTTGGAGCGCACATTCTCGCCCCATTCCGATCTTGCGGGCCCCTGTTGAAGGGAACGACCATCGTCGGTGATGCCGAAGCCCCAGCTAGGATGCTTACAAGAATTAAGAACAAAACCCTGACATGATTGAACTCAGGGCGGTCTTGGGGTGGGCCGCTTGCTACGCGCAGGGTGCGAGCTTCCTGGGTGTGCACACACCAACGAGCACCCGTGACGCCACGACACCCTAAACCCTAAACCAGCCTAAAATTCCTAAACTCCTGTATTCGATCGGTACTCAGACCCTTTTTTTTGCAGCGAAGCCCCGGCCATCCGATGCCCCGACCTGAACGGATTGTTTGGGTTCGCCACGGATGCACCGCAGGGTCTCCGAGACCTGACCAAATCCTCCAATTAAGGACTATACACCTTTAGTCAGAATAGGGGTCCTACTATATTTTAAAGCACATTCCTTAATTGAGGGATGTTGGAAGGTCTGGGTTCGGTGCGGCGATGAAGTCTCGTCAAATGAAAAGCCGGAATGGGATCATCTTGGTTCACTGTTTGTTATCAGTAAAGAAAGTTCATGATATCCAGCATTACACTGTAGGTTTAGAATGTACATAGTAAGCGGCAAAAATCTGTGTAGGGTGTGCAATGACTCGTTTTGCTAGTGCGCTCCATGGTGGTTATGAAGAGTGGTTTTGCCTATTTGTGTTTGAGAGTTTGCCTTTGCAGTGCTTTGGTGCAGCGCGACAGTTTTGCCCAGCTTGGAGCAAAGTGGTGCGCCCTCTTGCTGATTGGGTTGTAAAAATTCTTGCAACAACGCATCACGATTCATATCTTTGGAAACAATCAACCCTCCCAAGCGAAAGTGTGAGCCCCGACACTAGCCACTAGGCCTGAGGATCCATGACAGCGATGAAGACGTTCCACGTGTAGACGATGCACCCCTGTCCGAACACCACTTAGCCCAAACTGCAACGCTTTGAATTGGAGGTAGGAAACTAGCGTCTTGAGACCGCTTATAACTCTCGCCCCTAGAGTCTAGAGGCTACGGGCCGTACTGTATGATCAGGCAATGGGGCGTCACCATCTGCCGTGTTCATCTTCTTAGATTCTCGGAATTGATTCCGTTTGCTGTCCGTCTCGCAAGCTTCGCTGTTCAAGGCGTGTGTAGGATATACCTGTAGACCCAAAGCCTTCGGCAGATTGGATCAAGAGTATTGGCGGTTTGGGTTTTAGGTTTTGGAGAGAAGGACTCGTTAAATCTTGGTTGGTACAGTACGGTTGGCCTTTCCAACCTGCCTCGCGATGCTGAGCCGGATTGCTTCTATCATGGGGTTGGTGAGTCAGAGTCTTGTGCATCCGAATCTCGAGCCACCTTATCTAAAACTGGACCCGGACCGTTCCAAATCTCGACCCTGCGCCCAAACATCCAGATTCTACATCCCGGAAGCCGCTGCAGAGGGGCTGCCTGCCCAAATATGGGCT